TTGCTTGATTGTCGCAAAAAAAAAAAAAAAAAATCCAACACAGAATGACAATGAGAAGATGATGGCCGTTTCAAATTGATTGTAAACGAGCAAAGGGCATTCCAAATGTAGAAGAGAACCATTTAACACTTCTTAAATATTTTACATAATAATAGATTATCCAACCAGGAAAACATATAAGAAAGAAAACAAACAAGGATAGCATTCTAGAAAGCACATGTTGCAACAAAAACCAGGGTAAGGTACAAGTCTACAAAATCTTCCATTTGCGCTCCACAGCATTTGTGATCATGGATATGCAGTATGCAGCACTCAATGGATAATCAGAAACTGCAAGATAAATTAGAGATGAGGTTCAGCTGCAGAAAAAATGCAATAATTTGCGATGATGATCATTTTCCCATAGAAGAAACAGTATGGACCTAGTTTAGCATTTACATAGAATATGCACACATACGTCGCTTCCAGAGGGTAGGTGGAAATGAAGGAGCCTAGACTATAACTCGTCACTTATATGTATAATAACAACAACAACAACAATAACAACATACCCAGTGTAGTCCCACAAATGGGGTCTGGAGAGAGTAGAGTGTACACAAACCTTGCCCCTGCCTTTAAAAGGGCAGAGAGACTATTTCCGGAAGACCCTTGGCTCAAGAAAGGGAGAGGGGAGGGGCAATAACAAGCAAACCGATCCGACAACCAAAGCAAAAATACGAAACTAGCAAAAGGTAATGCAATCAGAAAATCAAAACACAAGACAACAAAAAGTAGTAACATAAGACTAGGGATACGGAAAAAAACACGGAAGGCACCAAGTGGTGTATCAAAGCTACTGTTACAAACAAGGACAACACTCGACCACCTAACCCTTTACCTTAATTCTCAACCTCCACACCTTCCTATCCATGGTCATGTACTTAGTGAGCTGGAGCAACGTCATATCTTGCCCAATCACCTCTCCCCAATACTTCTTCGGCCTGCCTCTACCTCTCTGTTGGCCCTCCCATGCCAGCCTCTCATACCTCCTCACTGGAGCATCAATGCCTCTCCTCTTCACAAGCCCGAACCATCTAAGTCTCGCCTCCTGCATCTTGTCCTCCACAGGGGTCACACCCACCTTGTCCCGAATAACTTCATTTCTAATTTTATCTAACCCGGTATGCCCGTACATCCACCTCAACATCCTCATCTCCGCCACATTCATCTTCTAGACATGGGATGTCTTGACCGGCCAACACTCCGCCTCTCATATTCTGAGGATGGTCAAGTAGGTTAAGATGCAGTTTAGAACCTGTATTGCTTCAGAGTTGACACGTGACACTGAACCAAACAACTCATAGGGAGAGAACAATCTCTCACTTTACAATACATTTTGTATGGAATACACTAGAATAACATCACAAAATCAAAGATTATGTGACATTCCAACCATATCTACATTCTACAGCAGCCGCAGCCAATTTAATTTTCATTTGCCAAAGTAATAAGTGGCTCTCAAGAAGTACTTCTACTCTCAAGGAAGATCAATAGTACCCTAGTGTCAGAACTTGAGCACACAGACACAAGTAACGGATGTTCGCATTCCTACACGTTAAACACTAGCCATGCAAATCAAGACAAAGGCAGAAAAAACACAAAATAGCACTCTAATTGTTATTGGACAAAATATTACAAGAAAAGAGGAAGATTAGCTTACTCGATAGATAATCTTCGACATAATCTTTATCAATTTTCCCGTGGGCCATTGCCCCAACCTGCATATGTCAAATATCCAGAAAACTATAACTTCACACAAAAGGAAGTTGTCTATAGAAAATTACACTAGAACATACCACAAAAACAAGGTTCATGTCCTTGTTGATGCCATTAACATATTCCTGAATATCCACCAGCTTCTCAGAACTATGAGAGAAGCCTGATGCATAAGAGAAGTGGGGTATTAGTCAATTGTCAAGAACATTCCATTAGAAAAGGAAGGAACTAAAATAGATAAATTATTCACCTATCTTCCGACAGTCAATGGGTAGGTACTTTGAAACAGGGTTTTTTATAACACGTAACAGTTTCTCTCGCTTACCAACAGCAGTTATGCTCAGCTTTTGTAGCAGCTGCACTGAATATGAAGCAACATCAGAAAACAGCAAAATTAGACAAATCAGAGATGGTAATAAGCATGAATCGACAAGAGTGGGTTGCTCTAGTAGTGAACACCCTCCACTTCCAACCAAGAGGTTGTGAGTTCGAGTCACCACAAGAGCAAGGTGGGGAGTTCTTGGAGAGCCGAGGGTCTATCGGAAACAGCCTCTACCCCAGAGTAGGGTAAGGTCTGCGTACACACTACCCTCCCCAGACCCCACTAGTGGGATTATACTGGGTGGTTGTTGTTTTTGTTGTTGTAATAAGCATGAAAAGAGATGGGTGAAAAAAATTTGCTCAAGGTAATTTGACTTACACATAATGCCAGCAAATCGTTTAAACGTCCTAGGGATACGAACATGAGGTTTTACTTCAAATAGGACACCTTTCTCGGTCTTCACATACAAAGCTTTTAATCTCCCAGCTTTATTCACTCGGCTATCTAAAATTGAAAGCATTGCCTGTGAAAGGAAAGAAGAACTTATATAAATATTTTCGGAAAAAGACGAACTAGGATTTTTAACTAATTGCATTGCCTCATAAAATAAACATGAACTTTTTGCGATAATTAATTGCAAATGAAGTTTGTGAACACCAATTCCTTTCTTTCATTAGCTTTGGAACTAGAACTTATTTTGCTTACGTACTACAGACTGGAAACAGATGGAAGCAGTAATTACTGTCCCAAATGGAGGGAGGATACGGCAAGAAAGCACTTTCACAAAGGATGCTTGGGCATCAATTAAAATGTTTAGATCCTACAAGTCCCGAGGTGGGATCAAGCAAATATAGCTACATCTGATCTTCTTCCTGCTTTCTCCCTTCCGCTAGAAGGATCTAACAGAAAGTGGATCAGTAGAAGGTTAAAGAGGAAGCAACAGCTCTCCACTGCAATTTCATCTATGCTCCCAGTTACAATAAACAGTCAGAATCTGAACCAGAAAGAAGTAGAATAGAGGCAAGATCAACTGACGAACTCACCCTAAAGAACTAACACCGAGCAAAAATGGAAGGGAAATTCACAGCCAAACCAATCCATAACTGCATCTTTTCATGTAAGGTAACGGAGAGGCTTTAGAAAGAAATAAAGCTTACAGACAAGACAACATCCGACAGTTGATATTTTCAAATGTATAAATCAAACAATCAGTATAAAGAGAAAGAGCCTGAGTTGCACAGAACCGGGGGGTGGTGGGTTGAGAAGGCATCCGAGTTCATATTTTTTCCCCCTCCTTTTTAACACTTAACAGTGGCTGAAATTTAATTGTTAAGTGTTGGTTGGGCACATAAGCGAAAAACACGTTTACCCACTTATCCATAGTCCCAACTCCGTTATGTTCTCTAAACTCTTCAGTAGAATTTTCTTTTTGATCTCTTGGACACAAAATACCAATTGTAGATGGACGGCATATATAAGATGCTGCCCTAATTGCAAAGTAGATTATAGAATTGAATAAGTGGACTCTAGAGTGAATAAGCAAGATCTTGCCTTTTCAGCAAGTTAGACTTCGGAAAGGCATATGCATGACGCTTGGGAATATGGCATTTGTCAGAGGATGGAGAACTGGAAAAGGTTTTGCGTAACTATGTAAAGATTCCATTCTGATAAACAAAAATTGCCAGAGGAAGAAACTGGAGAGTTTTGGAAGGAAAAGAGAGATCCATAGTGCAAATGAAAATGATTTTGTTGTTTATCATTTACTTTTGGAGCACACATGATGTCCCCACTTGTATAAATGACTGGGTGAATAAAAGAACTCATCTTTGTAGAGTTTGAAAGAAATCATCTTTGTAAAATTTGTTTTTCTAATAAGGTAGGAAAATGTCATTAAAAGGCATCAAGAAGATGCAAATATTATAAAAGAGGGAAAAATGTCAGCTACAAACACAAAAACTATCATAAGGGTAACGAGCTGACAAATTACAGGGCAAAGATTCACCCAACTAAAAAGGTTAACCAAACATTTAGCTTTTAGGGAGCTCCTAGAAGTTGAATACCATCATAACATATGTGGTTTCTTTCAATCCAAATACACCAAAAAATATAAGCAGGCGCCATAAGCTAGATATGCTTGATGTCTTAATCAACTCTCCTGAGACCCCGTGCTTCATAGACCTCTCTGACTCTATTAGGCATAAACAAATTCAGTCCAAATATGAAAAAACAATCTTTGTAGAATTGTTTGTACACATCTCATATCCGGAAATTCTGTAACTACCAGATATCTCTTTCCTTATCATTATTCTTTTTTAGTAACTAGGGCACTGAATAATCACAGGTTACTCAGACTCAACTTGAACTTGGATCAGAAAACATCATTTATATGATTCTTTAATTGAATATTCCTTCCAACTTGTTTGAAACTCTTCCACTTTTGTATGTCCCAAAAATATTGGCAACTTCCCATATTCAGAAACCATCTAATGATACATTTACCAATTTTATGCTAAATGTTTTACATTCTTTTTTCGCAACTGACATGACTGGTACGGAGGTCCCACTAGACACAAACAAATAGTTTTATGATAAGTATACGTTTGGAACCCTCAGGGGTTGGCCTGGTGGCAATTGACTTGAGCCTTGGGGTTTGCTCCCTTTCAAGGTCTCAAGTTCGAAACCCACTGGGTGCAAACAATTTCTGAGGGCCATCGGACTGGGTAAAACCTGAATTAACCGTGGTGCACTTGCGGGAAACTCCTTGCCGAGGGCCTGTGCACCCCCGGGATTAATCGGGTCTCAAAGAGACTTGGACACCCGGTGCAAATCAAAAAAAAAAAAGTATACGTTTGGCATCTTACACATATTTAGCTTATGTGTCATTTTATTTTTACATCTGCCTAATAAAATACCGTCAAACAAATTGGAACAAAAGGAGCATGTTTTGATGTCAACTAATTGAGCTCCTGAGCAAATTCACACAGAACTGAGTACAAAGTTCATGGTATCTCAGCTTGCTTGTTTTAGCTTTGGCTGGACAAATTGACCAACTTAGTTCACTCATTCTAACATATCAAGTCTCTACTCATGACATACATTCACTTGCAGGACTCAATACCAGCCAAAAGTTGACAAACGTTTTGACACATCAACTTCTTGCACATGCAAATTGTCTCAAATGACACACTTAAATCTGAAGTCTACAGGAACATCATAGTGTTCATACTATAGGGAGTATTGAGCAACAAGATACGCCTGGAGTTCAAAAGTCAACTAACCTGATGAGCAATATCAGGTCGATAATCAGAAGGGTTTCGATTGTTCTTCTTCAGAAAGTTGGAATGCTCATCTGAGTTCAGAAGTTGGTAAGTCTGCATCAACAAGAGGAAGATATCATTACACAATATGGGTAACTTCTACTTCCTTTATACACAGACAAAGACAAAGCAAAGGATGACATATGCGATGCTAAAGATAATTAATAAGATGAACTGTAAGAGCATATAAAGCTGAATAAGCTACAAGCGACATTCAAAGCCTGTGTAATCAAATCCAAAATTGAACAAACAAAAGACAGACCTTTCCAATTTTAGCAATTTCCAGGGAAGCTCTTTCGATGATGAAAATAATACCAGGTTTGGTGCTTCGATCAGTTGAAACAACCGGAATACCAGCCAGTAAATCTACAACTCGTTCAGCTGCCTCAGTGTCTGCTTCGGTGTGTTCTGTTCTCGCTCTTTTTGCTGACTCCTCTTCCAAAGCTTCCTCTATTTCTTCCTTATCATAATTCTCTCCTTTCTTTTTCCTCTTTTCCCCTTTAACTTTGTACGCTCGCACCATTTCTTGTCAAACCTAAAACTTGTGAAGTAACGGCAGAGAGATACTTGGATTTTGGAGGGTTGGGATTTATATGCCTTAATCTTCAATTTTTGGGCCGAGGCGTATCATTATTTGGGCTTGGAACAAAATTGGTAATTAGCATTTTCTGTGCCAGTTTTAATGGAAAGATAGTCAGAGTTTGTAAAGTCATTGAAAAATAGTCATTATTTTGCTGTAACTTGAAAAGTTCCAGCATAATATACTGGATATTGATGCACCTTTGTATGAACTTTCAGTATATTATGCTGGAACTCCAGCACACGAAAAGTTCCAGCATTATATGCTGGAGATTGGAGCACGTGTGTATGAACTTCCAGCATATTATGCTGGAACTCCAGTATATTATACTGGAAGCCCAGTACATTATGCTGGAAGTTCACATGTAAAAAATTCGCAACTCCAGTATATTATGCTGGAATATTTTTTGGATTTTAAACAGTGTTTTCGTTTAGATTTATCTTTACATGAAAAGTGGCTAAATTTCGATTACTTTTGAAACTATAGCTATTTTTCAATTACGAGTTGTAAATTTGTCTATTTTTTAATTTTACCCCTATTTTCTTCCCCTACTATTAGCGTTTAGCCACAATTTAAAAAGCTATTAGACTTTAGGGTTTGTTTGGAAAGCTATATGGTAATTGGAATTCGTGTAATTGCTAGGGTATTAATTACACAACCTAGTAATTATACAATATAGTAATTAAGACGACATATTTGTTTGTCATAACGTAATTACAGTATAATTACAAGCATATTGTTTGGTTGCACAAGTGTAATTACAAAGTTAGATTAAATTTTAAATGAAGTAATTATCAAAACTTAAAAGTTAATCTATCTATATCTATATATATATACTATATTAAAAGCATGAAGGCCCTTAGCGAAATGTCGTTCGCCTTTTTTGCCCTTTAAAAATAAAGTTCTCACTATATAAAATAGTCATTTAATTATTTTTCTAATATTTTGAACTTAGAAATTCCTTAAAATTTGGTTATTAAATCTTTTCTTATTTAAATTAGATATTTATTACTTTAGATCGATTAAAATTCTTTCCTTAAATAAACATTTAAAAATTCAGCCGTTTGGAGACAAAAGTTATAGACATTCTTTTGAAGTAGTTTTGGCAATCAAGTGATATCCTAATGGTACTCCAATTGTTTCACGATGAACAAAATATTTTTTTAACATTAATGGATAATTTCTTCTTCTTTTTTTGAAGTATAATTTTACTTTTCTTAGTATTTGCAATAAACTACATTAATTTATTTTAATTATGTGATAAATAATGTGAGACTAAAATTAAAAAACTACTAAATTTATAGGAAAATAATGTTTCACTTTTCTTTTAGTTTTTTTTCTTCTTCAATCAATTTAGACTATTATAAAAGCATAAAATTTCAATGCAAAATTGATCGACCTTTTTATCATTAAAAGTAAATTTCAGATTGGACAAAATCATTATTTCATTAGCATTTTCTAATATTTAGAACGTTAAAATTAACTAAAATTTTGACTATTAAATCTTTTTTATTTGAACTATATAGGAACTCATAATATTTAGGAATATTAACACAGTAAGATTACTTCTATAAATAGAGTAAGTTAATTTTCTCAAGAATTTATAATTTTAGAAATTATTATTTCACCCGAAACAACAATAATCTGTGTGACATTAGAAGTCTTCCGCTTTAAAATACCGAGATAAGAAAACTTAAAGTAAACGTATTCGGTTATTGGGGAAAAACCAATATACTTCTAATGTCTAATTAGATCAACTAGCACATAAATAAAGCATTGGTTCGAACACTTTTAGATTGCTAAAATTATTTTAAAAAATTAAGGTTGGTAATGTTAAAAATGTTAGTTATTTTATGCTATTCGTTTTTAAGAATGTAAATAAAATATTTTCAAAAGTGTTGTCATAGAGTTTGATAGTTTCTCATGGAGTCGATAGATCTATCTAGCGGATAGATATCGCATATAATCGCAAATAAATATTAAATTGGAAATATGTGGCAAACTAATATTACCCATTATTATCGAGCTAAGGAGAATAACAATATTTATTAGCATGTATAGTCTCTTTATCATGATAATGATCAAATATACCTAGAAAGGATGATGTGAGAACCTAAATCTATCCCTAACGAAAGTCAAAATAAAAAGGTATTTGTAGAGCAAAGACATTCATTTATTGAGTTAGATAAATGTGATTAACGTTCAAGATTTTTCTCAGGAATTTGGATTTTTAATTTTTTTTTTATCATTCAGAACTTTTGTGAATAATATCAATGTAACTTTTCTAAAATTTTAATGTATTGATATGAAATACACGCGCAATGCGCGTACTCTAAGACTAGTATAACAAATATTTTAATGACCCGATGGAACGTTTTGAGAATTAGCATCCCGTTCAGCGACTTAAGGCCTCGGAAAGCTTCGTATAATGTATTATGACTTGCGTGTGCGGTCGAGTTTGGTTTTCGGGTGATTTGGGATCAATTTTGAAGAAACATTATTGTTTTAAAGTGAAAAGAGTTGACATGAGTTTGACTTTTGTGTAGAAGACTCTGAAATGGTGTTCTGGTGATTCCAATAGTGTTGTATGGTAATTTTGGTCTTAGGAGCGTATCCGGATGTTGATTTGGAGGTACGTTAGTCGTTTCAGCATGTATTGGCGAAAGCTCGAAAAAATGGAAGATTTTAAAAAGTTTAGCCGAGAGTTGACTTTATTGATGTCATATCGGATCCTGGTTCCGAAAGTTAGAATAGATCCGTACTATCATTTATGACTTGTGTACAAAATTTGAGATCATTCCCAAGTGTTTAGGCTTGTTCGCCGTTAGTTTTGAATTTTGAAAGTTCATTAGTTCATTAAGCTTGACTTGAGGTGTGATTCGTAGTTTTGATATTGTTATGTGGGATTTAAGGCCTCGAGCAGGTCCGTATTATGTTTTGAGACTTATTGGTATGTTCGTACGGGATCCCGAGGGGCTTGGGTGAGTTTCGGATAGGTTTAGGTTGTGTTGTGCTTGTTTTTTATGTTTCGACGTCGTTTCTTCAAGCATAAATGGTACCACATTAAGCAAATGAGGTCCAAATTTAGTTTGGATTAAAGCATTATATATGTATTGTAATTAGGGAGCCATATCCAAAAGAATCGTCGAATTCGAACATCATATGAGAGAGTTATGCCTATTTCCGTATCAGGAAAGATTGCTGGTTTCTGGCGAGGTACTGTTCAGTTCGCAATTGCGAACAATTCATCGTAATTGCGAAATTTTTTGCACTGTTCATCTTCGCAATTGCGAAGAAATCTTGGCATTTGCGAACCCTGGATCGCAAATGCGACATCTGCAGCTTGTTTTCAGCTATGTAATTCGGGTTTTTGCTTTATTTTTTGATATTTTTTAACCCTGGGTTCGAGAGTGGGCGATTTTGAGAGAGGAATTTCATCTACAATCGTTGGAACATGATGGACCGTGGGTCATCATTATAATATCGAGATGTGATTCGAAGTCGGGTTATCGAGCCCAAGTTTTATGAACCGATCAATACCGAGCTTAAGTTAATATCGAGCTCGAGTCGATATCGAGCTATGATGAGAAGTGGTGTTATCGAGCTCAAGATCCATAGATCGATCGATACCGAGCTCGAGTCAATATCGAGCTCGAGATCCAGAGACCGATCAATAACAATACCGACCAAGATTGAGCCAAGAGACAAAGAGCCGTTGTAGCCGCACTAGCGGAGAAATTCTCGGTAGAAATCAAGAAAAAGCTAATTAAATATTCTATCATGGGACCCCCACTATGCATTTTTAATTATATCCAAAGTAGGATTCCTCCACTATATTAAGGGTGACTATCATTTGTGTAACACACATTGAACATTTAGACATCAATACACTCTCACATTTCAAAAATTATTGAGATTTACACACATATAGTAAAGATTATTCTTTTTTGGGCTTTGGACATTGATTCATCTTGTTCGTTTATAAATCATTCTCTACTCAATTTGAGTTTGTATTTCATTCCTTTTTTACAGTCAATATTCAATATATTTCTACTTATTTTTTCAATTTGTACCAAGTTATATCACGTATCCTTAGAACTACGTATAAATTCAACTCTATCCGTTTTTCGGGTAAACAGAATGGTTGTGCATATATCACTTTTAGGCATCTTGTTGTAGGCTTGGAAATCATATTTGTGTGTTCCAGTCCACTAGGTTAGTTTATTAAATTAAAGTTTTTGCGCAATTACTTATACGGTGGAATTAGTTGGTGATAATGTAATCTAACATAATGTAACGACCATGAAATGTTGTAATACGACCATTGCACGAACTATTATTTCATCTTCTCTAACTAGTTTCCCAATATTTTCAGGTGTGCTTTTTTCGGCAATTTTTTAGGTCAGTTCGGAAAGCTGACTACTTGACCATGCGCCATGGTTTCATCTCGGTGAGGTTCACAAATTCAAGGCTTCTTACAATCAAATTATAGTTCTTTTGCTTATTGATTTCCTCTTGTTGCAGGTCCATTTAGCACCAGGAAGTAAGTTTAATTTTCAAAAGTACATTAAAAGATCTCTAGAAGATGACTTCAAGATTGTTGTGGGTATCAAGTACGTTCCTTTCGACGTGAACTGAAACAGCATTCATCTTCTTCTTTTCAATGTTTCTTTTTTCTTTTTATCATTTTTCAAATAACTATAAGTCTTTCTCAGGTTTGGTGTACTGCTAATGATTTTTGTTATACTTGCAGTTCATTGCTATGGTTTTCTGCAGTTGTTTATCTTCTGATGAATGTTCATGCACTAGTTACCCAGGTAACTAAAAGTTACTTATTTCCTTACAAAATAAACTCAAAAACATGTTAAATGCTTCATTTTCTTCCTTTGTTTTTTGGAATTTTCAAATGGGATAAACTATGAAAAGATATATATTTGATGATCAAACTTCCAAGGCACTGATGAATTGGCATAAAAGGCAAAAAAGAAAAAACCTACAAAGCCTGGACCAGTAGAAACACGAAAATTAGGAAGTCCATGGGACTCACCTGAAACTTCCCCGAGCACGAAAGGTGGTCATCAATCCAGAATAGAAATGTCTAACGTAGAGCCATCGTCGTCTAGTCAAACAGCCAACATTGTTGCTAGTGTGGACATTCCAGAGGAAATGCCTCACAATAATGGTAGATCGCGGTCCACGAATCCTGACCTACTTACAGGTCCTTGATTGAGACAATGAGCAGAGATAACTCATGTCACATAGGGAGGAAAAGAAAGGGGAACGTAGATTGATGTTGAAATGCTATAACTTGGGCTGGAGATTGGTTGTTCCTCTATTTCTCTGCACAGCATTGCAGAAAATACTAGCTTTCTGTTCCAATTCCAGGTTGATGCTCAATTTTGTAAACTTCAATTGTATTATTATTAAAAGAAAAGTGATGTATACTTGTGAAGGCTATAAAACCTCGTTACACTTAAAAGTTCCGAGTTAGACACATTTTGAGTATTAAAATGTGTCCTTACTATTTTACCAGCATTAAGGTCTCATAGTGTACTTACATGCTACCTTTATTCCACTGGCCGCAAATGGATCAAATTGATTTACAGCTCTCTCCACTGTAAAATTAGATATGTCCATTGGATTGAAGGGGTGACAACAACAACAACAACAAAACCAGTGATTTTTCAAAAGTGGGGTTTGGGGAGGATAAGATGGACACAACCTTACCCCTACCCTAGAAGGGCAAAGAGGTTGTTTCCGATCTACCATCGGCCGGAAAAAAAGATGAAAAAAAGTAATGGCATAGGCTGCCTAGTGCATACCATAATATGGATTTTTTGGATAAATTAATCCGATTGATATATGGTTCGACTTATTGATCCCCAATTGCGAGTCTAAATCAGAATCAAACTTAGGGATAGCAAGTTATGCAGTAACAGAGCAAACCTGCGTAAAATTGATTTCTACCCGTCCTGCACCCGCAAATGCTGTAACCCACTCAGCCCCATTGCCATCCCTAAATTCAGACTCACTTAAACTTACTGCCTAGGTTAACTAAACATTGAATGATAACCTCGAAAATATGGCAAATGACTTACTACCACCAGTTAAACTATACTGCTAGATTAAAAAAGATATTGGAAGGTATTAGAATTTCTCAATTTGCAAATTTCTGAGATTCCTTGATTGTCACCCCAAAAACAAAAACAAAAACTTATACAAAAAAATTCCAATACCAGAATGACAATGAGAAGAAGATGGTCACTTCAAATTGATTGTAAACGAGCAAAGGCATTCCAAATGTAGAAGAGAACCATTTAACACTTCTTAAATATTTTACATAATAATAGATTAACCAACCAGAAAAACCTATAGGAAAGAAAACAAACTAAACATTCTAGAAAGTACATGTTGCAACAAAGACCGGAGTAAGGTACAAGTCTACAAAATCTTCCATTTGCGCTCCACAGCATTTGTGATCATGGATATGCAGTATGCAGCACTCAATGGATAATCAGAAACTGCAAGATAAATTAGAGATGAGGTTCAGCTGCAGAAAAAATGCAATAATTTGCGATGATGATCATTTTCCCATAGAAGAAACAGTATGGACCTAGTTTAGCATTTACATAGAATATGCACACATACGTCGCTTCCAGAGGGTAGGTAGGAATGAAGGAGCCTAGACTATAACTCGTCTCTTATATGTATAATGAGCTCTCATATTCTGAGGATGGTCAAGTAAGTTAAGATGCAGTTTAGAGCCTGTATTGCTTCAGAGTTGACAAGTGACACTGAACCAAACAACTCATAGTGAGAGAACAATCTCTCACTTAACAATATATTTTGTATGGAATATACTAGAATAACATCACAAAATCAAAGATTATGTGATATTCCAACCATATCTACATTCTACAGCAGCCGCAGCCATTTTAATTTTCATTTGTCAAAGTAATAAGTGGCTCTCAAGAAGTACTTCTACTCTCACGGAAGATCAATAGTATCCTAGTGTCATCAATTGAGCATACAGACACAAGTAACAGATGTTCGCATTCCCACACGTTAAAAACTAGATATGCAAATCAAGACAACGGCAGAAAATTCACACAATAGCACTCTAATTGTTATTGGACAAAAAATTACAAGAAAAGAGGAAGATTAGCTTACTCGATAGATAATCTTCGACATAATCTTTATCAATTTTCCCGTGGGCCATTGCCCCAACCTGCATATGTCAAATATCCAGAAAACTATAACTTCACACAAAAGGAAGTTGTCTATAGAAAATTACACTAGAACATACCACAAAAACAAGGTTCATGTCCTTGTTGATGCCATTAACATATTCCTGAATATCCACCAGCTTCTCAGAACTATGAGAGAAGCCTGATGCATAAGAAAAGTGGGGTATTAGTCAATTGTCAAGAACATTCCATTAGAAAAGGAAGGAACTAAAATAGATAAATTATTCACCTATCTTCCGACAGTCAATGGGTAGGTACTTTGAAACAGGGTTTTCTATAACACGTAACAGTTTCTCTCGCTTACCAAGAGCAGTTATGCTCCACTTTTGTAGCAGCTGCACTGAATTTGAAGCAACATCAGAAAACAGCAAAATTAGACAAATCAGATATGGTAATAAGCATGAGGTGAAGAAATTTTGCTCAAGGTAATTTAACTTACACATAATGCCAGCAAATCGTTTAAACGACCTAGGGATACGAACATGAGGTTTTACTTCAAATAGGACACCTTTCTCAGTCTTCACATACAAAGCTTTTAATCTCCCAGCTTTATTCACTCGGCTATCTAAAATTGAAAGCATTGCCTGTGAAAGGAAAGAAGAACTTATATAAACATTTTCGAAAAAAGATGAACTAAGATTTTTAACTAATTGCATTGCCACATAAACAATCATGAACTTTTTGCGATAATTAATTGCAAATGAAGTTTGTGAACACCAATTCCTTTCTTTCATTAGCTTTGGAACTAGAACTTATTTTGCTTACGTACTACGGACTGGAAACAGATGGAAGCAGTAATTACTGTCCCAAATGGAGGGAGGATAGGGCAAGAAAGCACTTTCACAAAGGATGCTTGGGATGTTAGAGATATATTAGATATGCCCTAGATCCAATCTCATATTTGATGATTTGAACATATTTTTGTGAATGTTATTTGATATAAAAATATATGGCATTTGATATTAGTTTATCATAGTTATTATTAATTACTTGATTAATTTAATAAGGTCCTTGATTAAATTTTGAGACTTGTCATCATGATGGAGATCATGATAATGAGAGTAAAGTCTCATACAATTTAATCTAAATTTTGTTCTTGATCGTAGGATTATTAATTTGGACATTAGTAATCCGGTTAGATCAATATTTATGTGAGCGTCTTTATGGGATAAAGATTAGTTGATCCAGTTAACTAAATAACATAAATAGATGATGCATATAGAGATATGATCATTGAATCGATTCATTGGATAATTCCAAATGGTTAGAATTACCATAAACTGTCAATAGGATATTCTCTTGAAGAATTTGATGTAAGAGTTTCCTTTGACCTGATATCATCATAGTAATTGACAAGTTATTTATTGTGCTTTGATACTAGATACATATGGCCCTAGGGCGATAGTTGAAAGGATATTGGGTACGATTAAATACTTGTAGAATTAGTGATTGATCAAGATGGAATCTCTCAACTCTTGGTAATGAGTTTAAGCTCTATGTTGCCATAAATTATAACCGACCAAATTAAGACCTTGGCCAGGGCGATTGAATGAAAGAAGAAAAGAGTTTCTTAGGTCATTCAATGGTCTATTATTTTTGACATGAACACATAGTCGGTCGCCTATTAGGATTTGACAGTTGAACCATATCCTAGGGTGACCCAGAGCTATAAATAGAGAAGGAATTAATACATTATTCTTCTACAGGTTCATGAGAGTAAATTATATACTTCATGTTATTCGGTCGTTAAGGAGTGTTGCTAGACGCCACCCCTGATTAGTATATTGATATATGATCAATTTACTACCGGTTTAGTACTGAACCTATGGGGTCGCACACTAACGAGTATCCTGATCTTTGCTAAAGGATTAATTACTTTATTATTTGATAATTAAATTAAAGAATTTAATTAGTCAAATGAATTTAGTTATTAGTCCAAATGAAATATTATTATATTCTTTGCTAGCACAGATGATATAATTAATATAGTGGACAAGTTGAAGTTTTCTATTTTAACTAAGAAAATTAAATTACATCTCTTGGTTGATATATNGTAGAATTCAATTTAGAATTGAATTCCATAAATGAGTTACATGTTTTTTATTTTAAAATGTTGACTAATTTGTAGAATTCAATTTAGAATTGAATTCCATAAATGAGTTACATGTTTTTATTTTAAAAGTATGACTAAGTTATAGAATTCAATTTAGAATTGAATTCCATAAATGAGTTACATGTTTTTATTTTAAAATATTGACTAATTTGTAGAATTCAATTTAGAATTGAATTCCATAAATGAGTTACATGTTTTTATTTTAAAA